TTCCTGCTAGTAGGACAGACTGGCATAACCACGCTTCCCTGCAGTACAGTTGCAAAGGATGGGAAGCAATGTCAGCTTTAGAGTTTCAATAATACTTGATAAAGGATGGAGGAAGAAAGGAAAGAAGGGAAGAAATGGAAGAACAGAAGGAGGGAGGGAAATGGGAAAAAGAAAAGTCAGAAACAATTCAATCCAGCCTCTAGAAGGTAGAGAATGAGGACCACTTATGGTTTTCTTGAGATAGGTGAAGACTTTACAGTGTCACAAAATTAATGTCATAAAGTGGTATTGTATTAATGTAACAACAGATCAAAATATGGGCACATGCCATATACACCATAGTTTCATATTGCAGTAAACTCACATTTAAAACATTTGATGCACACTGCACCAAAACTTAACTCCATCCTTAATGCTAAGTTGAAGAGTTGACAGACTGGAAGGACAATGGTGAGTTCAATCATTTTGACTGATGTCCTTAATGATAAAGACATTGAGTATATATGAAAACTTTTAGTGAGGGATGGTGCCACCTGTAATCCCAGCTACTTGGGAGGTGAGGTGGGAGCGCTGCTTGAACTCAGAAGTTTGTAAATTGCTTGGGCAAAACAGTGAGACCCCATCTCAAAAAAACAAACCAAACCAACAAGCAAAGAAAAAGAAAGAAAGAAAGCTGTCAATAAACAGTAAAATGCTTTCCCACAACTGACATATAAAAATAGTTTAAATTTTACTCAGCCATAAAGAAGGACTTCAAGACATTTGCCAGTAAATGGATGGATTTGGAGACTATCATACTAAGTGATATAAGCCAGACCCCAAAAGCCAAAGGTCAAATATTTTTGTTGATATGTGAAAGCTAACCCCAGATAATGGGGGCAARGGGAAGAACAGAATTTCAGTAGATTAGTCAAAGGGGAATGAAGGGAAGGGAGGGGGGATAGGAATAAGAAAGACAGTGAAGTGAATCTGACATAACTTTTCTATGTACACATATGAATAAACCATAGTGAATCCCACCATTGTGTATATCCATAACTATGGGGTTTTAATTAGAATAAGATATATTCCATGCTTGTATAATTATATTCAAATGAATTCTACTGTCATGAATAACTAAAAAGAACCAATAAAATAGTATATATTTAAGATATACAATGTAATGTTTTGATGTATGCATATATTCTGAAGTAATCACAATCAAGCTCATTAACACATTCATCACTTCAGTTTCAATTTTAGCAAATCTTTTAATAGGTGGCAAATCTGATTATAAAATTTCCTTTTATTCATTTTTTTTTTTCATTTAAAAATGCAATGAACTGTTCAAGGGCAACTGATTCCTGTGGCTCCAAGATGGAATTTCAGCATTATGTTAAAAATTTAGAAAAAATGAAAATCTTCCAAATAAACTCATCAAGGAATATTGTCATCTAAAATTATGATAAATTGTTTTTTAGATGACATTCTGAATATTTCAAGTGAACAGAATTTGTATAAGTGAAGGAAAAATTAAACATGGATTTTTCCTTATTGCATATGGTCTGCTATTACCATGAAAAAACTATTAATTTTCCTTAAGTTGATGGTTCTCCATCTTGTCCCCACAGAGAAAATTTGGGAATGTTTTTATTTGTCACAACTTGGGGTGGGATATACTGTGATCTAGTGGGAAGAGGTCATGGATATTGCTCAGCATTTCACAATACACAGGACAGTCTCCACAAGAAAAAAATATCTGGTCCAAAATGTCGACACRCTGTGGTTGAGAATTCTCCACTATGTCAGAGCCTATAGTTCATTCCACAGCTCAAGCCACAACTGTATTTTTTTAATGGAAATTTTAAGCGTAACTATTTAATTTAATAAGAAAGACTGGCACTATAGAGTTATATTTCTGGGATGGGGAGAATACCCTACTTGAGGTTACATGTTTTATAGTCAGCCATTACTAGAAATAGGCAAGTGTGTCAGATGAAGGCTTTGCCTAAGAATAGAGAGGGTTAATGAGAGAGTTTAACCTAATAGCTTTGTTTCATGTTTAAGAACTTCATCTATGCACTGGTCATTTCAGTTCTACTGCAAGCTCTTCAGTTGCATGTCAATTACTGCTACCAAGTCCAGATGCTACATTTTAACCTCGTTGCCAGAAATTAATAAGATTCACAGACCCTGAGTACAATATTGTCTACAATATGTGCCTCATATTTTGAAGACCATCTGTTTCATATTTGTCTAAGAGGCTCTGCCAAAGAATTTGCATGCTTCAAGACTTTTTAAGTAAAAGCTTTTATATTAAAAAACATTTGAGGAATACCTATACTGAGATATAATATACACACCATAAAATGAAGCCATTTAAAGTGCGCATGTCAATGATTTTTAGTATACTCAAAGTTGTGTAACTATCATTACAATTTAAGGTTAGAAAACTTTCATTACCCCATAAGAAGCCCCATATCCATTAGTAGTCATCACAAYTCCTCTAACATACTTTCTATTGCTAAAGATTTTATTATCCTAGTCTTTTCATACAAATGGAAATATAAACGTATTTTGTGGCTGGCGTTTTTAGCTAGCATGCTTTCAAGGTTCATCTGGTGGTAACATGTATCAGTACTTCATTTCATGTTCAAATAAATTTCACTGGAAATACATATCACATTTAAATAAATATATACTATTTTTATGTGTCAGTTGTACCAGTTGTATACCATTTGATGAACAGGTGGTTGTTTTTCTCTTACATATTATTAACATTGCTACTATAAATATTTATGTACAAGTTCTTATGTGGATGGATGTTTTCATTTCTCTCAAGTATCATGAGCTGAACTGTGCTCCCAGACCCCCAATTCATGTGCTAAAATTCCAACCCCTAGTATCTCAGAATGTAATTATATTTAGAAAGAAGGCTCCTAAAGAAAGTGATTAAGTTAAAATGACATTGTTAGCATGGGGCCATAATCCAGTATGACTGGTGTCCTTATAAAAGAGACAGCAGGGGTATGTATGCACCGAGAGACTGTGTGAGAACACAGAGAAGACACCGACTACCTCCCTGCTATTAGGTAATCAGCTACTGATAATAAAATCAAAGGATGAGAATCAAATAGTTCTTCTTACACCTACTTTGTCTGACACAGAGCAAGAAGAAAATAAGCAGAAAAATAATGGAAGGCCGAAGACTAAACAGATATTTGTTGAAAATATTAATTTTACCAATGTTTAAAAGTTCTAAAAACAGAATATTTATTACTCATCATGTTACTTACAGAAACTTCAGAAATTTCATGAGAATAAACCATCTATTATTAAGCATAAAATGGATGMTACAAGTATTTTTTGACTGAAAAGAATTAGAATAAATGTATTATTTAATAGTACATGTAATAAATTATTTAATGTAATTTATGTCACATCTTTCCTTCACAATTTTTGGCCCATGAATGAAAATTATAAGACTAATTAAAAATATAAAACATTTCAGAAAGCATACATACTCTATAGAGCAAAGCCTGGTTTTAAGTGATATAATCAAAAGAGAAAAAAATATCATTTTATGGTTAGAAAACAAAACAAAATGTCATCAAGTTATGAAAATTTGAATAATTTCTAAACTGGTCTTAAAAACAATTTTAAGAGTCCAAATAGATGGGTTGTAGAGGAAGACTATTAAGATAAGGTGGTAGGGATGGATCACTTGATAGGAGGACAGAGTTAACTGATTTTAATAACAACAGTTTTCCATATAAAGGATCATTATACAGATAATGGAGATTATTTACATTGTATTTACATTTTGCAAGAAAAGAAGCATTCATTGCAATATGAAGGATTTAGTTTCAATATAACAAAGTAGGTTTCAACAAACAAAATCAGTCAAATCAAGGGCAGTAAACAATGAAATAAGACTAAAGTTATGCTTGGGACCACAGCCTTTAGAGTTACATGTGCTCCTGAAAGGCTGTCTGAAAGCAGAGTGAGGCTAGAGATTGCAACTTTGGTTCCTGCTAAGCTCTTGTGCTATGTTCTGTGATACTATTTGTTTTATTACTCAGAGGCAACACCACATACTTTGGTCATTTAGCAAGGTGATTTCTGCATTTATAAAAAGATTATCCTGTAGTGTAATACACAGAACTCAAGCACACTAAGTCATGGGAGGGTTAGTGAGAGCGGCATATGTAAAAGACATTATTTCTTCTTTTGCCCTCTTGAAAACATAGTTTGAGTTGATGCTTAATCCTGCATGGCTAAATTAAATTTCTAAATGTTTTGATAATAGTTGATTTTATATCCAATTACTATTATTTGTAAAATATTAGTAGCTACATGTTGACTTATGACAAAGATATTCAGTTTGTTGTATTAATGAATTGAAAGGGACTGTTATCTAAAACTAAATGCATAACCTTTTTTTGCTAAGAGTTATATACAAAGAGAAAAGTTGAAGCTGTTATAAACATACTAAAGCTATCTGGGTTTGAAGAAACAGGCTAAGGAACTAGGTCTATATAGTTTACACTRTATAACAATATTTTTTTTGGTCTTAGTAAACTCATCTGGAATCATTCTGAAGAACACACAAACACATTTAAAGATTTGGGCTATACTAAAGTTTGGGGTATCCAGTTTTTTTTTTCTCAGTGGTTCCTTAGTACAACAGTGATATTTCAGAGAATATAAAATCGTAGAGGAAGGCAACTTAAAATTTCTTTGCTGTAGCCAAGATGTGGGGACATGTATTTGTTTTGAATAAGTGGAAGAACTGTCACAATTATTTTTGAWAAAAAAATGTATATAATACATGGGATTCTGTAGTAGCAATAATTTTATCATCTTTTGAGAAAAAACAAAGAAAATCCATATGTTCTATGATTTAGAAATTAAGTGATTCTAGTTTCAATTTCCACTAAAATATTTATTTAATTAAAGATATTTTACAGAAATAAATAAGAGTAGTATTTTCTAATACAGATAAGTGTGTTTGTGTAAATATATATATATATTTCCTTTTTTTTTTACAAAATTTGTAGCATATCAAACAGTTTCCTAAAACAGCACATAAAGGAATACCAGGAAACAAAAAGAAATGCTGAAATAGTCTCATTATTAAATTATAGCCATGGGCCTTCTGAACCTCAGTACRATATATGATTTCGTGGAAGAACATTAGATTTGGAGTCAGGGAGCCTGGCCTCCACTGTTTATTTGCTATGTGTCATAGGCAAGTTTCTCAATTTCTGAATCTTAGTTCTCTATCTTTAAAACAGGAATATTAATAACATCCATTTCACAGGACTGCTAGGAAAATTAAACATACGAGCATAAAGAAAAGCTCTTTWTTATGTACAAAGAGCTACAAAGTAATAATTCTGTTTAATTTCATATAAAAGAACCAATGCATMTCTCTCTTCAACTGAAGAATAAGCACCAAAAAATGTGTGTTTTCTTCAGCTGCATTATGTCACCCTATAAACCTAGAGTAAGAAAATGCACCTTAGCTAAGCACCAAAGCCTCCTGGATGAATAAGATCCTGGGGATATTTCTATTACAGTTTTCTGGGCAGGTAAGTAGGAGCTAATGAGTCCTGAGGGTCATTTAAAACTTGGAAGGCTTGAAGAAAACAAAATAAGTACATTTATATTATGTCTAATAGCTACAACATGCTATTCCTTAATTTAGTGATTTCAAAGTCCATTAATTCTTCATAAAAGAAGAAATGCTTAGTTTTTATCACTTGCAATTATTTGTTAATGTGAAAATGGATTCTCTTATTCAAAAGATCGAATACTAGTCCTTAAGGAAGAATGACTACAATGAAATAACAAAGTCTATCATAAATTTAGGTATCAGTGCTAAAATGGCTAGTTACACAAGAACACAGGAAAGGAGAACAATCTAAGACATCAGTATAACAATGATTAAAAAAAAAAACCCTGCCATATTTCTATATAAAGAACAAAAATTATAAAAAGTGCAATATTTATAGATATATCAATCTTAAGACATATAAAAACTTAATGAAAAGCTTACAGTGTTTTGATTTTAGTAGCAAGATGCAGTGAAAACAAATAATTGCCTAGGATTAACTTACTGTTAGGGGTTGTATTACTGTAAAGTTATCATGGTGTTATAATTTAAAGTTATTCAAATAACTAGGAGTTCTTATAGTTAAGCATTTACTTAAAATATTACTGACACGATATTAGTGAATCACGTGCTTAAGATATTAAAGGCCTTTCAAAAAGGAGATATATGTTGGTTGAATATATCAGGTTATATAAAACTAGACTAGTTTACTTCTCTCTTATTCCAACTCTTTTTACAATTAATAATATCAAAAAGTACACATTACCTCTCTTAATTCCCATGCCTCATCAGATACAGATATAGTCTTTGGAACAAAAATAAATGTTTTATCAGGAGTGTAAAATTAAGAATCTTTATAGACCATTTGAAAACAGTACATTGAAAAGGGCTCAGTAAGTACTTGGCCAATGTAAAATCAAAAAAGGAAACAAATTCATTCAAATAGGAACAGTGTTTACTGACATCTACTGGACTGTTTAAACTTATAACTTTGCTCTACAGCTATAAAAGTTTATTAATACATTAGTCTGTGGAATGAATCAGATGTAGTTCATTCAAGCTCTTCCGTTTCTTTGGTGAACAGGTCTGCCAGATCAGCCACAGTCAAGACAGAGGCCTCGGAATGCTTTCCTGATGAATTCGTGTGACTGCAGTTTTCCAAATGGGCACAACCAGGAGGAAACCCCAAGGAATCAGTGATTACATTTATAGTAACAAAAACCAAACATATATTTGTTCCTAAATTGTTAGAATTCGGCCATAAGAAACTTCCAGAAGAAAGTAGGAGATGAGATTTATTATTATAATGTATCAAAAATTAATAAAGACTTGTATATATTATTTTCAGGTTTTGACATAAAATATTTTTTTTCTCTAAACAATTAATAAGAAAGAAGGTCCCCTGAGAGCAGCTGCTACAGCTTTAACCTTACAAATTACATTCTTACCATCTAAAGCTAATTTGTTTAAAGAAAATTTCAACAGTTCTTCCAACTACTATTTTATTTAGGCAGCTTATATGGAAATCACTGAATTCTGTCATACATGGAATACATGGAAACAATAAAAAGCATTTGTGTTTTAGGTATAAAACCTTTAGGGTAGCTAGTCTYCTCCCTTTTCAAACACCACTGATTGAAGAAGTTTTCTGGTTCAAGCAGTTTATTTGCTATGCAAAGTACCTTTAGGGAAACAATCCCTTCTAAAAAGTAATACTTCTTCTTGGGTGTCTTTCAATTCTACCTACTTCACAGGAATTAAAAAGGTATTGGTTTGTTTTAGAATGGATTAAAAGAAAAATTAAGGTATAAATATTAGGAAGTTAATGCTTTCAAAACATTATCAGTAGCCAAGTTTTTGAATTCAGATATTCCTATCTGCATGTGACCAACAAGTATGAGATAGTATCTTACAAGTATCTGTGTAAGACAAGTATCTGTGTAAAACAAATTTAGTTTTACACAGATCAGATTAAGTCTTGCTTAAACAAGGCATAATGATTATTTAAAAAGTAATCCAATGTGGCAAACAAAAGTCACATGGTTTAAATATTTTTAGAAATGACAACCTATTAATAAAATGAACCAAATACAAAATGTCCAAAAGAATTGATTCGGGAATACTGAATGTAAACTGTTATTTCTTGCTCTAAAAATAGTATGTTTATATCTTTTATTGTCATCTAAGTGAAGACATTCCAAACACATACTCAATAAACAGGAAAATTTCCCCCATCTACTTAAATTGTTACTTACCTTCTTTCAGCAGTTTTCAGCATTGTCTGCATTCTTTCTTCTATTGTTGCTTTAATTAAGAATCTGTGTACAATAGTAGGTCTAGAAGGTACATAACAATTGTAAGTTTAAAAACAACATAATGAACTTTCTCATTTCTTTTAAGTCTTTACTCAAATGCTATCTTCTAATGAAGCACTTAATCTTCCTTACCCTGCTCTACTTTTCTTGGTCCTAACACAGTATATCATTTACTTATTATGCTTATTGTTTACCAGTTGTCTCTCAACCAACTCCTAAGCCCTTTACAACTAGAATATAAGTTTCATTAGGGCATCTCAAGTGTTAGTGCTTGGCAAATAGAAAGTGCTCAATAAAAATCTACTAAATAGCTGGGTTTGATGGTGTATGCTTGCAATCCCAGGGACTTGGAAGTTTGTATCTTCATGGTAAAGTGCYCTGAGTTTAAGTCCACTACCAAAAAATAAAAAATTTAAAGTCTATTGAATGAAGTATGTGGGGATTGATGTAGGTAGATTGTTCTAGCTGATGATGGACTTCTAATCTGACTAAGATCATCATCAGCACAGAGGAGGAAGTTACAGAGGACTGAAGACAGACTCCTCAGGGGTCTGATGTAACATTAGTTACTCGGTATATACTTATTATTCAATGAGTTCTTGGTAAGGATATGTATTTTTTTAAACATTCAATACATGTAATATCCAGAAGTTTATCTAGGAGGCCTTATCAAACATAAACATTCATTCTGATATTTGAGAAGAGGTAATACATACCAACCACATGATATTTCCTATTAGATTTGTTTTGGGTCCGAAACTAAATGTAATTATCTTTGAGTTGAACCAGGGTGATGTCTTTTCTTAGGGTAAGAATTTAAAAAGGAGCCATCTGTTTTCAGTCATGCATGAGTTGTGTCTTCTCTTAAACATAGGCTAATTTAGACAATCAAAGATCAATTCATCTCAAAGTCAAGATGGATACCTTCAACACTGCAGCTGTTGTTATGTATTCCTAATAAGMTTTTTAAATGAAATGACCAGGTTTCTGTTGGAGGGATGAAAGAAATCTAGAATTCAGGGGTTGCTGCTTGAAGGAAGAATGGTTGGAAATTTCATATCCTTTGGTCACACAGTAATGCTTAATAATCAAATAAGGAAATACAGGCTGAGCAATCCTAATCAAAAAATCCAAAACTTCTTACACAGACATGGTACTTTAAGTGTAAATTTCTAYACCTGACCTCAGTGATGGATTGTAGTTAAAACCCAGGCATACTATACATAGCATATAAAATCACCTTTATACTATGTATATGAGGTGAAATATAAATGAATTTCATGTTTAGACTTAGGTCCTATCCCTAAGAAATCTCATTATGTATATGCAAATATTCCTAAATCTTAAAAAAATCTGAAATTCTTGTGGTATCACACATTTTCAAATAAGAGATACTCAACCTGTGATTAAAAATAATTAGGCTATAATGAACATAAATGAAGAATTTAAATGCCACTTTGGTATCTGAGACCTGAGGCAAAGTGACTGAAACTAATTTTAGTTCTTACTTTGTCTGTCCAATTCGGTGCACCCTCCCTATGGCCTGAAGCTCATGGGCAGGGTTCAATATGGGCTCCACCAAAAGAACATGAGTTGCTTCAATGATAGTTAATCCATTAGAACCTGTATGCAGGGGCAGCAGCAAAATATTGATTTGGGGATCACGTTTAAATGCTGAAAGGTTCTCCTAAAAAAGAAAGGTACATTTTAATTTTAGCTGGATCAGGTAAAATAAGAGCAGTATGTTATAGCTCAGTTAAAAATGCTAATGGTATCCATTAGGTCACTGTGACACTTAAGAACTAAGAAATTTAAATGTAAAATCACTAATTTTAGGAAATAGAAACTTGTTGCTTATCTACTTATAAGGAAAAGCATCATGTAACCTTTCTTGTTCTTTACAAAATATAGTGGAATCACAAGATAAAGAATGTAATGTATGTAAATTAAACTGTATGAGTTTATAGGAAAAAGAGAGAAGGAAAGTAAAAAATATGCAAGAGTGAATGTGAAACAGAGGCATGAATCTAATAAATTTTCATTTGGTTTTGTGTATGTGTGTATCTCGAGGTATGTCATTGTGCTAAGTGTGATACCAGGACAATGTTAACCATATGTAGTTTTGCCTGATATAGAATCTGCAAAAATTAATTCCAGGGCATAAGGCCCCATTCAAAAGGCATATCATAGGCAATCTTTTCCCATATTAAAGAAAGGACTTCAAGTAAGAAGATCTATACAGAGATCCTTTGAGGAGWATAACTGAAAATAGACAGTGAAGAGACATAAAATACCTCTATCTTCTCTACTTTGCTTTAAAATTCTAATTCATAATTAATCAAACCTCAAATCTGCGTATGAAACTTATATGACATATGACAAAAAATGTTAGTAATTTAATAGCAATTTTAGTTTACAACTGAATGTACTTTTAAAAAGCAGGAGTAACATCTTGACATACCTGAAATGTCTTCACACGACTGATTTGTGCAAATTCTATGTTGTTGTCAGTGAGAGCTTTTGAAATAATATCTAATACATCTTGCCACTGAAACACAGGAAACRTATGAAAATTGGTATTTACACGGAGCTTTCAAAGAGGATCTGAGAGAGGATTAAAGCACAGTAACTTTTATACCTCAAAGTGATCAAAAACAAAATCTTCAAGTGCACTACCGTTAATATTATTTAGTTCTATCATGAAATTAAATTATATATATGTTATATATATATATATATATATATGTACAAACACACTTTTTTTGTATAAAATGCTGGCTGAAAGGATAAAAAACACAAGGGTCTTTAAAAATTAATTAAGATAAATAACAGAAAATAAATATGGAATGTTTAATGGATGTAATTACTTATCTCCTCAAAATGAAAATTTCCCAAAAATAAAAACTAGAACTTTATAGTCTGTAATTTGCTTTTTCTTAATTTGTGAAATAAGATTTTCAAGATTATGGGTTTCAATTTTTAAAATGTTCAAATAAGAAAATCTCCAAATGAAATTAACATAAAATCATAAAATGTTATCATAAGAATGGCACTGTGAAGAAGCATCAGATTTCTCTAGAAAAAATTCTACCTTAAGGATATGGGGAAAAAAAGTCTAACAATAAAACTAAATCTTAACTAAATTATATTAGACATTACACATTAGTTTTCAGATATAAATGGATCAGAAAAAGAAAACCAGTCTGAGTTAATATTGAGGGTGAAAATGTTGATTATACCGTGGAGAAAACAAGTGCTTTAGCTCCTGGGTCTCTAAGCTGTATTTTCATCAGAGTTCTGACCACAGCTTCCACTTTTGTAGAATGGCTGCCCTTTGAATAAAAATAAGAAAACACATCACAATCAAATAAAATCTAGTTAAGAATAGAAAGGAAAATCATAAAAAATACTGTTTATTTGCAAAACTATGTATGTATCAAAACCAAAACAGGTACATATGTTTACTATTTTTTATTTTGTGTTTGCTGGAAATTTTCTTTAGTTTCAAATTGTAGAAGTCATGGAATTTACATCCAGAGAGAACTGAATATAAAGGCACACCAGAGAGTCATGCAGTGATATGACACTAAAGATATTTTAGTAAGATTTTTTAGTTAGGCAATTTGGTTTTAGAGTTATAAAATTTTGCCACATTAGTCTCTTATTCCAGATATTATGGATTAGAACTGTTACAAATATAAGAAATCAAAATTCTAATGCTAGCTAGCAAACAGGGAAGAAGCCAACAAAGAAAGAATATTTTCTTGCATGAACAAGCATAAAAAGAGAGGTACAAATTATGTTTACTTAAACTGAAGCAAATTCATACAAAGTTAACCATGTAAAAGTGCTTTTTTGCATCTTTCATAACCATTCTACCATAAAAAGATGAAAATGAGAAAAAAATGATTAAAAGTAGACAAATAAGAATAGGATGAAACTACAAGTGTTTCTATAGTTCTGAGAAAGTTTTCCTCTTAGAGTTTGACAAAGATTAAAGGCATGGGGTTTCAAATTAGGCATATCTAAGTTTCAACCCACAAGTTATATGGATTCTAACCTTCCTAAACCTTCTTTTCCTTATCTGACAAGGATGATAATTTTATCTATTTCCAAAACTGGTTTGACAATTCCATGAAAAAACACACACAGTTTTCAGCCTAACACCTGGCAAAGAGTAAACTAACTCAATAATTTTTATCTTTTTGAAATCATAATACAAGACTATGACCTAGAATATACCATAGGGGGGCAGATGTAACCAAAAAGAAGCAAACATATTTCCATAGCAACATTAGCCCTCTCCTAAATACCTTCATTTTTTTTTTTTGAGCACAGGGGATTTAACCCAGGGGCACTTGGCTACTGAGTCACATCCCTAGCCCTATTTTGTATTTTATTTAGAGACAGGATCTCACTGAGTTGCTTAGTGCCTCACTAAGTGCTGAGGTTGGCTTTGAACTCATGATCCTCCTGCCTCAACCTCCTGAGCTGCTAAGATTACAGTTCAGTGCCATTGAACCAGGCCTCAATATGTTTTCGCATGGAAAAATACTTAAAGGCCAATAAATAAATAAATAAATAAATRWATGTATGTATGTATGTATTATGTATGTTCCTACACATATGTTGAAAAAATTTATGTGTGTGTGTGTATGTTTAAAGTTTTAAAGTTCTACTAATTTTAAGTTGGCAAGATAGAATCATGGAAAATGTTTTAAAATCTTCATGCTAAAATCACAATTTTACATTTATTTCTCTAGATATACAAGGAATAATTTTTTATAAGCAACATTCCAAACTGGTGTGTTAAATCCTTGTAGGAAAAGACTAATACATTCTCTTTTTATGGAAGTTTACTGGGTTTAGTGGTAGCTCTCAGTAATCCCTTCCAAGTGCAATAGTTCTCAACCACTTGGGCCCAGGCTAGTTACTTCTCATTATAAAAGAAGAACGATAAGAAAGCTTAGAAATTAAAAGTTCTGCTTGGCAGAGAGCTACACAAGAAGTGAAATGAATTTATACCCTCTTCTTTCCAAATGGACAAAAAGTGGTCACTGAAAGAGAGAACAATAAAGAAAGAAGCTGTGGCCTGTATGTATCTGATTATGCACACCCTGCACAACTTTTGAAAACAAAGCCGGCAAAATGCATAGTCTTTATGCTAGGCTAATGTCCTCCATTAACTCCCCTCAAGGTGAAAGATTTCATATTTTAGACTACTTGACATTTACATTATAAATTATCATAAAAATGTTGGTTCAAATTTTAAGATGGTACATTAAAAAATCACTGCCTATTTTTTTGAAATATGAACTCATAATTTGTTGTTAAATGAAAATGCTGTTGACAACACAGAAACAACATGGAACACATACCATAGTAACAAAACTGAATAGCAGTTAAGATAAAAACCTGATTTCTGTCTGTTTTGCTAAATATATTACAAGCACTTTTTGGATCATTTTTTATAAGTTACAATAAAGCAATATGTATTTATTGAGCAAATAAGCAAACAGAAATTTACAGGATAAATACTTTTTATGTGTAACTTTCTCTAAACACTATTAAGGATCTGACAATTATCTTTCTAGATTCTATGCATTTTAGAAACCTACATTAAAATGCACTATACTTTACAAATATTTTTAAATATATTTGCAACATGGTCCTTTTATTTAACATTGTATCTAGCAACTGTGTTATACAGGACCCATATATTTACCTTACTTTGACAGCTGCATGATATTCCAGTATACAAAATTTATAAATATTTGCTCATTGACACATAATTACATTGATTATATTGTGCTTTGCTATTACAAACAACACTTTAGTGGCTATGCTTTTATTTACAACTTTAGGTGCATGTATGAAAATTCTTGTAGGAAAACAAAATTGCTGGTTAAAAGATAAAGAACTTTTTAGATATTTGGATTCTAAAAGATTCCCTATCAATCTGCCCTCTGAAAATAGTAAAACTTTTTTTTTTTTTTTTTAATTGGTACCAGGACTGAACACAGGACACTCAACCAGTGAGCCACATTGGCAGCCCTTTTTAATATTTTTTATTTTGAGACAGGGTCTAAGTTGTTTAGTGCCTCAYTTTTGCTGAGACTGGCTTTGAACTTGCAATCCTCTTGCCTCAGTATTCCGAGCTGCTAGGCTTACAGATGTGCAATACCATGCCTAGCTGAAAATACTACAATTTTAAGCTATCAATAGTTCAATGTGCTTGCTTCTTCCAATACTTATTAAAGTTTAATTTTTTTGCCAATCTGATAGGTGAAATGAGGAAGCAAATTTGTATTTAGTCTGCATTTCCCTGAGAGTAAGTATGAATATCATCTGCTGGGCAATTAGAATTCCTTTTCTATAAATTGTATATTCATATACTTTAACTAATTTTAAAAATTGCATTATCTTTTGCTACTGATATTCAGATCTTCATATAATGTAGATGTTAAACTTAGATTGTACATGTTTTCCTACTACTTCATTCACCCACAGTTCACATTTATCTGTGTTAAAAGCAATGATACAGGTAGCAGAATACAACAATTACTAATTGGGCATTATGTAAAATTGTGGATGTGTAACCGACGTGATTCTGCAATCTGCATTTGGGGTAAAATTGGGAGTTCATAACCCACTTCAATCTAATGTATGAAATATGATATGTCAAGAGCTTTGTAATGTTGTGAACAACCAATAAAAATTAAAAAAAGAAAAAAAAAGCAATGATACAAGCAAAAGTGTTAAACTGATACATTATTCAAGCTATGGTAACTCACAAAATGCTCGATGAATGACATTTGAATTTAACACTATTATTCCTTAAGTATTTTATTGAATTTTTTTTTGGCTAGACTTCCAAATTAGTCTTTTTGTTGTTGTTGTTGTTACTGGATTTAACCCAGGTGTGCTTAACCACTGAGCTACTTCCCCAGCCCTTTTTATTATTTTTTAAATTCTGAGACAGGGTCTCACCAAGTTGCTTAGGGCCTTGATAAGTTGCTGAGACTGGCTCTAAACTTTCAATCCTCCTACCTCAGTCTCCCAAGCCACTGGGATTACAGGTATATGCCACTGCACTCAGCTGAATTATTCTTTCATAAGGAAAAGGTGAGGGATTTTATTTGGAGAAGAATAGCATTTTTCTCAATTAATTGTTTTACCATGGTTCTACATAAGATATAATTTATTATTCATACCTCAAAGTATGAAAAAAAATCAAATGGCATTTACTTTTATATCACTCAGAGCTTACCCTGGAACTCTGTAAACAGTATACAATCAGTTAATTTAATGCCAAAAACCCTAATATTTATATATATTTAGACTTTTAAATTCCAAATATGTTAARTAAAACACATTTAAAAACAAAATAAAATAAAAGGGGATCAGAATACAATTTGAAACTTCTAACATATTTTTCATTTTTTAAACAATATGCAAATCAAACCTTGCAATTAGTCTCAACAGATTAGGTAGACAATAAACTGTACCTCAAAACTATACAGGCAATTTATGACAAACTCACAGTTAACATCACATTCAATGGTGAAAAATTGAAAGCTTTTTTTCTAAGATCAAATCTTGCTTTCCCGCTCATAAAAGCTGACAAGAGCAGCCATGAAAGAAAACCATTTGACTTAACACAAAGCAGGCTCTATGGAGGATTTTGTTAGATATTTTTAATGAAACCACTGGAACTAGTATAAAAGAGGCCAACAATTGGAGAGGTAGTAACCATCTTACTCACATTTATCAATGCTGACTTTTTTTCACCTATCAGCAACTATAGTAGAGGTCAACAAAGTCAGCAAACTTGTGGGGTTTTATTTCTAATCTTTAGAATCATAAATCCTTATCCATAACCAATATTGAAAGGACAATGTTTGGTCTACAAGCAGAGTCAATGAAAGGGAAGACTTTTTTCTATATTCATACCCATTCCCACATCACACAAGTCCCRTCTTCAAAATTTCAAGTAAGTTAGTTTGATTATTCAAATAGTCAATTCATTCAATAAAACACATTAAAAGGATCATTCACTATGATCAGGTGGGATTTATCCCTGGTATCCAATGATGATTCAACACAACACAAATCAATAAATATGATATACCATATTAACAGAGTAAAGAATTAAAAGCATATGATCACCTCAAGAGATGCAGGAAAAGCATGTGACAAAACTTAATGTCCTTTTATGACAAAACTCAACAGATTAGGTGGACAATAAACTGTACCTCAACATTATACAGGTCATATATGACAAACCCACAGATAACATCATATTCAATGGTGAAAAATTGAAAGCTTTTTT